CAGGAATGCTTGTCAGGTGAGGTTGTTCAGAAGAGGCAGGTGAATAGTCAGAAGGAAGAAGGGGAGTAGGAATTCTTGTCGGGTAATGTTATTCGGAAGAGGCAGATGAATAGTCAGAAGGAAGAGAGGTAGTAGGAATTCTTGTCCGTTGATAATTGAGAGAAGGTGAGAGAGAACGTTCAGGAGACTGGTGAGTAGGAAGGAGGAGGATAAGAAGAAGAAGAAGTAGAGGGACGAGGTTGTTTATTATGTGTTTGTTGAGCTTCGTGTAAGTGTTGAATTCTTAAAGTGAAAGAATGTTTATCTAAATTAACTTTCTTGTAATTTATAATAAAATTAGGGTCCGCGGACGCCCGAGCCAGAAGTTTCCTTATAGTGCGATTTTTTCTATTCCTCGCGGTTTTCACCCAAAGTTTCTATTTCGCAGAAATAGGTTTGGATGTTTGTTTCGTGGTTTCTACTAGGAAACGTACGTCAAGATTAGTAAAGAATTATCCGTTCATGAAAGAAAACTGTTCAATAATTGTTTTCTCTCTTTTTTTTCATTTTTTAGGGAAATAAAAAAAATATAAAAATAATGCAACAAAATATAAGATTTTAAATAAAGGGAAAAATATTTAATATAAAGATTATAATAATGGGATTTATTTAAAAGATGAAAAGAGATGGAAAAAGATTAACTTAAGTCCAAAGCTAAATGTGAAGACCAACTCTTAACATTACGTCAGAGTCTTTAAGTTAATCACACCTGCCGATCCGTAGAGAGAGAAGATTCTTTAAAGTCTAAAGCTAAGTGTGAACACCGACCCTTAACATTACGTCAGAGTCTATAAGTTAGTCACACTTGCCGACCGGTGGATGAAAGAGGAAGAGGGAGAGATGTGCAAAATATTTAATAAATCATACAAAAATATATAATGTTGTCAATAACATGTATGTATAAATACTTGATTAAAGATTGAGATGATTTTCAAGATTGCAAATTGTTTCCTTTAGAAGAAGGGAAGGGAGGAAAAAAAAATAATGTAAGAAAAGGCAAGAAAAAAAAGAAAAATTTTAAGTAGACTCACTACTTGTTGCGTACTGACGAATTTNTGCTGAATTGGAGAAGCGACTCTATCGGTCTTAGAAGAGTTGTACGGAAAGATGGCTCGGAGATCTGCTCGATGACTTTGTGATGTTAGTTAATAACAGTTTTCTTGGCACTTATCACTTAAACGCCACTGATTTCCTAGGTAATTACTCTAAGTCCTTTACGTTGTCACGGAACTCACTCACCGCATTCAACTTTTAGAATCGCGAATGAAAAAAAATGGAAATAAGTGAACCGGGTGTTAGAGCTGATTATTTGCTGGATCGAGAGTTGAATAGTGAGTCAGTCGAGAGCTGAAGACAGAATTGGATTTAAAGTTAAAGGCAGATTGGATTGAAAGCTAAAGACAGACTGTATCGAGAGGCGAAGATAGACTGACTTTTCGAGGAAGGATTTCACGTGTCCTCGAATCTTAACATCTCCTCGCATACCCTCTCCATTAGATAAGCAGATTCCCTTTAACGAATCAAATCTTTAAATGTTGCTCCTCTCATGAGTTGAAGGCGTCTCCCTTCCAAAAGAAGGTAATTATAGTTACATCGACAAAATATCGCTCTAGTTTTTAGAAAAATCTTTATCCAAGGATCTCTTTATACCGTGTTTTCGCTATTAAGTTTTAGAGTTGAAATATTATTTGATCCGTCTGTTTGTTTTGTGGCGGATAACCACCACAAAAGCACGGGCACGCGAAAAAGCCAACGCGCCCCTTTCGAAATGGCGGCAAGCGCGCCCGCCCAAACTCACGCGCTGAACACGTGCAAGCTCGATAAACTACGAGAGCTTGCCGCGACGCGGCGGCAGCCGGGAGTCGGCGCTAGGAAGTAAGATCAAATTCGCGCAAGTGATATCACGGATGGAGCCAAAACAAGCACGAGAAGTAAAGGACATAATCACGCGTCCGCCCGCGCATCAGAAATACGAGACCATTAAGAGGGCCTTGATACAACGACTCGCAGTATCACACGAACAACGCATCCGGCAACTCTTAGAACACGAAGAGTTAGGTGACAGGAAACCATCGCAATTCCTACGTCATCTAAGCACGCTCGCCGGAACGACGGTACCCGACGACCTTCTACGCACCCTCTGGTTGGGACGACTTCCAACACAAATGCAAGCCATCCTAGCTACGCGCACCCAGGATAAGCTGGAGGACGTGGCGGAACAGGCCGACCGCATATACGAAGTCGGAAGCAGGTCGCTAGTATTGACAACTACCGCGCCACAGCAGGCCACCGCACCCGCGTGGGAAACGCAGATAGAGGCCCTACGCCAACAAGTCGCGGCCTTTACCACCAATCTGGCACGAAGCATGCCCAAAGAAAAGACCCGGAACCGCTCCAGAGGGCGACCGAGGGAGCGATCGAGGAGCAGGACAAGGGAGAGAACCCCTCGGCAAGAGGGAGTATGCTTTTACCATCGGCGCTTCGGCAGCAAAGCCGAAAAATGTACAAAGCCCTGTGCCTACAAACCGGAAAACGACGGGGGCAATCGTTGATGGCGGCAAACGATGACAGCCCCAAACCTCGCCGCTTGTTCATGACGGACCAAACTACGAGAATAAAATACCTCATTGATACCGGCTCAGTCGTCTGCGTATACCCGTACTCCAAAGCGGGAAAGCGACAGCAAGCCGAAGCCTATCAACTCTTCGCGGCGAATAGATCAACCATCAACACATACGGGACAGTAACGTTACAACCCGACTTCGGACTAAGAAGAGCGTTCCCATGGCGCTTTATCATCGCCAACGTAACCCAACCGATCATAGGCTCAGATTTCCTATGTTACTACCACCTCCTGCCGGATATACGAAACAAAAAATTGTTAGACGGAGCAACCGGACTCGCCTGCGGAGGAACGGCAAGCAACAAGAAAACGCACTCCATAAAAGCAGTAATAGAGGGCAACGAGTACCAGGACATCCTACGAAGATACCCGGGGGTTACACAGCCAAACAACAACCAAACAAGGGCTAAACATAACACCGTCCACTACATAAAGACAACAAACGGACAACCGAAAACATGCCGACCTCGCAGGCTAGCGCCGGATAAACTGAAGATAGCCAAGGCTGAATTCGAGCTGCTAAGGCAAGAAGGAATAATCCGCCCATCGAAAAGCCCTTGGGCATCACCATTACATATGGTGCCGAAAGGAAGCAACGCATGGAGACCATGTGGAGACTACCGGAAGCTCAACGTACGCACAATACCGGACCGTTACCCAATACCACATATAGAAGACTTCTCGCAAACTCTCCACGGGAAGAAGGTGTTTACCACGATCGACCTCGTGCGCGCTTACAACCAGATCCCGGTACACGAGCGGGATATCCCGAAGACAGCCATTACGACACCATTCGGACTGTACGAGTTCTTATACATGCTTTCGGATTACGCAACGCCGCACAGACATTCCAAAGATTCATAAACGAGGTGATACATGGGCTCGACTATTGCTATGCATACATCGACGATATCTTGGTGGCATCACGCTCAGAAAACGAACACAGGAACCACTTAAAACAACTGTTCGAGCGACTAAACAGCTACGGCATCAAGATAAACCCGGCAAAATGCGCATTCGGAAAGAAGGAAGTAAAATTCCTCGGCTACCTAGTGTCAGCAAATGGAACACAACCACTACCAGAAAAAGTGGAAGCCATCCGAAACTTCCACAAACTAAATACTGTGAAACAGATGAGGCAATTCCTGGGCACAATAAATTTCTATAGACGTTTCGTGCCAAGAGCAGCAGCAGACCAAGCCATACTAAACGACGTTCTGAATGGACCAAAAACAAAAAAGAACGCACCAATCGAATGAACAGCAATACTTGAAAAGGCGTTTGAGAGATGCAAAGACAGTCTAGCACGAGCAACGTTGTTGGCACATCCAGATCCAGGAGCAGAACTAACACTTACAACTGACGCTTCAGATACGGCACTCGGAGCAGTGATACAGCAGAAGACCGAACGGGGATGGCAACCACTCGCATTCATGAGCAAGAAGTTCAACCCAGCACAGCAAAAATACAGCCCATACGACCGCAAACTCCTAGCAGTGTATACAGCTATTAGACACTTCCGACATATGCTAGAAGGAAGAGAATTCACAGTATATACAGATCATAAGCCAATAATCTACGCATTCGGTCAGGACCCGTTACGCAGCTCGCCACTCCAAGCACGCCAACTCGATTTTATCAGCCAATTCACGATCGACATACGACATCTAGCCGGGAAGAAAAACGTCGTAGCAGATGCGTTATCCCGGTTAGAAGAAATACAAATGGCCGTGGACCATGAAGAACTCGCGAGATCACAAGAAAAAGACAAGGAACTCCTATCTACACTACAGGGAGAAACGGGATTAAAACTGGAAAGAATCCCAATACCCGGAACAACCGCATACTTATATTGCGACACAACGACGCCGATAACACGCCCATTCGTGACCCAACCATATAGAAAGCAGGTATTCAAATCCCTGCATGGTTTGGCTCACCCAGAGATCAAAGCAACGGCAAAACTCGTCGCACAGCGCTACATATGGCCAGGGATACAACGCGACTGTAACCACTGGGCACGAGCATGCATAGCGTGTCAAAGAGCAAAGATTACTAGGCATGATGCGACGCCAACAGGAACCTTCCAGGCACCAACAAAACGATTCCAACACATTCACATAGACCTCGTGGAACCTTTACCGATGTCACTAGGAAACGCTACTGCCTGACAATGATCGACCGTTTCACAAGATGGCCTGAAGCCGTCCCTATCCCAGACATAACGGCCGAAACAGTAGCCGAGCGCCTCGTCACACAATGGATATCACGATTCAGAGCCCCCATGAGAATAACAACCGACCAAGGACGACAATTCGAGGCTGACATGTTCAGACGATTGACGCAACTAACAGGCACCAAATACCTGCGAGCAGCGGCTTACCACCCCGCAGCTAACGGAATGGTGGAACGGTTCCACAGACAACTCAAGGCTGCGATAAAATGCCACGCGATGGAAAGATGGACAGAAATCTTATCGATCGTACTAATGGGAATACGATCCGCCTGGAAAGAAGACCTCGGCGCCATTTCAGCGGAACTGATATACGGCGAACCCATACGCCTACCAGGACAATTCCTAGCAGCGGAGGACAGACGAAGCGACAACAACGAGGACATAGTAGAGAGATTACGGACCACAATGAGCAAATTACGCGGCTGAGGCGACACGGAAACAAAGCAATCTTCATCTTCAACAGCATGGGGACAACACCGACAGTTTTCGTGCGACACGACGCACCAGCAGGAACATTACAGCAACCCTACGACGGCCCATACAAAGTCCTCCAGAGGAAAAGTACAAGATCCAGATCAACAAAAAGGCAGTCAACATCTCAATTGACAGACTGAAGCCGGCTTACTGCCTAGACGAAGAAACATCACAACCTGAGGCAGAAGCAACAACGCCAGCAACAACAGCAAGAGCAGAGGCACAACAGACGAGAAGCGAACGGACAACACGGCCACCAGTACGGTTCGCAAACGGATCTTAAGAAACAAACGGACCTTACCACAACCAAGGGGGTCCTGTTACGGACCACAATGAGCAAATTACGCGGCTGAGGCGACACGGAAACAAAGCAATCTTCATCTTCAACAGCATGGGGACAACACCGACAGTTTTCGTGCGACACGACGCACCAGCAGGAACATTACAGCAACCCTACGACGGCCCATACAAAGTCCTCCAGAGGAAAAGTACAAGATCCAGATCAACAAAAAGGCAGTCAACATCTCAATTGACAGACTGAAGCCGGCTTACTGCCTAGACGAAGAAACATCACAACCTGAGGCAGAAGCAACAACGCCAGCAACAACAGCAAGAGCAGAGGCACAACAGACGAGAAGCGAACGGACAACACGGCCACCAGTACGGTTCGCAAACGGATCTTAAGAAACAAACGGACCTTACCACAACCAAGGGGGTCCTGTGGCGGATAACCACCACAAAAGCACGGGCACGCGAAAAAGCCAACGTGCCCTTTTCGAAATGACGGCAAGCGCGCGCGCCCAGACTCATGCGCTGAACATGTGCAAGCTCGATAAACTACGAGAGCTTGCCGCGACGCGGCGGCAGCCGGGAGTCGGCGCCAGGAAGTGAGATCCAACGAGTGATAGTATATAAGGAGGGAGCCGATCGATATCACCAGTCGCGGCTCACTGCTGCTAGAGAGGACTTCTCTCGTTTAGTAGCACCGAGCTTAGCGACGGCGGACGGAACTCGGGTCTGCCCGTAGAAATCCTCCGCACTTTGCCTAGACGCAAAAAAAGGCACACGAGGAACGTCCACGTCCTTTTCCGCCGCCCACCTCACCGGGGCCTATATTGCGGACCGGACCTCCGGCGGAGCCACCGACCAACTCGTCCACTCGCCGGCACATCAGCTGGTCCTTCCGGGAGTGGAAACTGCAGCCTTTGGAGCTGTCGCCGGTGCGCTTCACCCGTCCGGGCAGAGACTTCCTGTCGACGTGGGACGTCAGGGTTAGGCGCTACATGTCGCCGACGTACGGCTGGAGCTACCCTCCACGCCTGTCACCGCTGCCACCATCACCGGCACCGAACGAGCGCTACCACTGTGAGACGCAGACCAACCCTGTCTGCAGGGTACACAGGGGAACACAATCGATCGCCTCCACCTCCGAGATGGGTACACAGGTGACCAACACCTCCACCTGTGAACGGGCCACGCAGTCGGACCTCTCGGACTAGGAAGAAGCTTCGCGCACTTCCGCAACCCAGACGAACGAACCGCCGCTGCCGGAGAGGAGCTACACTCCTCCCGGGACTCCTCCAGCGCTCCGAACAAAGTGGGGTCCACCTCGGTACACGTCCACGGCACCGTCGCTCCAGTGGCCTGCAGTAGGCGCATACACCAGCGCCCAATCGGCCCTCTTCAGGGCCTCCCAAAAAGCAAACTAAACATAAACGCCTGTATATACCTTACGACCTGTAAATAATTCTGGAAATATATTCTTGTATATAGTAAGACGCTTGATCTTTGACGACATCCTGTCCAGCGACATCTTCCCATTGCGAAGTGTGGAGTGAAGGGAGCGAGCGCGCTTCTCCTAACTACTAACACCCACAGTTTTTTGCACGCGCATGATTTAAATTTCGAGCGTTCTCACGGCTCGATTATCTTTTATTTTCTGTTTAAAATTCTTAAGTTCTCTAATGTTCGAATATTTATTGCACATGGTTTACATTTGATATCGTTTCTGAAATATTAATCTCGCCTGCTAAATATTCCTTGGTTTAATGTTTGTGTCAAGTGCAGAAAGTTTTCAGAACGTTTAATATTATGTGGAAGAAAAGAATCGAAATCTACCGGACATAACAATATATATATGCATAAGCAGCTAATTTACTTGACAAGGCGGATAGTGTTCGCAAGTGGAGTGGTCGTTTGTGAAATGATAAAGGGCCGTT